CTTCCACCAGATGAGCCTAAAAAACCATTCACTGAACAGAGGAAGGGAGAAATATGACGACATTTTAGGAATGATGCCAAAGAAATTCCAGGACTGGGTGGCACCTTGGCTTAAACAATAATTTGCAAGGTATATTTCCAGAGCCTGTTATAGTCTTGATTTTAGTGAAAAGCAGTTGTGTGTGTTAGATCTATTAAATCAACCTGTCAGCCACCAGGCTCTGAAAGGGGAATGGAGAAAGTATAGCTATATATTCTACAAGAGACAATAATGAATAACTGATCTTTTCTTGACATTACATAATGGCAGTGTTCATATAAGACACGCTGTTCTGGGAGGCAGAGCACAGACATGGCAGGGAGGATAGTCTGCAAGGTTGGACAGTAAAGACAGTAAGGTAGAAATGACCTTCACTCAATAGTGAGATATCCATCATCATTATCCAACAGCAACTCAACCTCCTTAGAAGAAACCACAAATCTCATCAAGTGAGGTTTATATTTTTAGACTTTCCTCTAATCCTTGCCTCTTTGTCAAGAGACTATTGAATATTTGTTCAAATCCACATGTGCACTGAACACAAGAGTTACTGAGCATTTTCACTGCCTCACTTCAAGAATATCAGTTTAACCACTTCACTTGTATTAGCTTTACAAATATTTCTATTAATGAAACCATCTAAAATTTTCTGAAGATACCATTTTATTAGTAATAAATGCTCTGGGATAGTTTATTGAGCTAGAGTACACGTGTTTTGGCATGAATGTGTTTAAAGCTCACAACACAAGTTTAGTAAATTATTACAATATGAAACATAACACTATAATAATATTGCCCAGAACACTAATAGGTGGTACATGGCTGTGAAAAAGTGGACCCCCTAGTTGTTGTACATTCAAAATAATTTAACAGGCAGCCACAAACACAGGGAGTGAGGAAAAGAGAGAGAGGTTACAGGATGTAAAGGTCTATGCTGGGTACAGAGTGTGTGTAGTGCAGAGCCTGGGGGCCATTGTGGAGTTTGTAGTAAAGTATTGTGAAATATTAGCAGGATGTTCAAGTGACTGTCAGCCTAGTGTACATCTGGTCTGTGTAGATCAGCACAAGGAGAGGAAAGAGCCTTGATGCCCAGTCCAACTTTTACAGGGACTGACAGGAACAGAACACCAGTCATTAGTGACGCCAGCTTAAATATTATCTTAAGTAATGTATTCCTCATATGGTCATAGTCAAAACTGCAGTTTGTGCATCTCCATGTATGTAACGTATACTGTATGTCAGTGTATGTTTGTAAGACTCCTGTAAGCTACTTGCCAACTGCTCCAGATCCATTTTGCAGAGCCAGATCAGGACTGCCTTGCAGGCCACCTGAGGATAAATACATACAAACACAGTCTATTTGATTTCAATTGCCACCAGTTTGCATCTTATAACCACTGAAATGTTTCCAATATTTTGGCTTTGCTGCACATCAAAATTTATTTGGTAGTCTTTCTTTTTCCCAGCTGATTCTGAACCATCAGCATCATTTTTATCTGTTATACCATTCCACATAAAAGAAATACACTCACCAGCCACTTTATTAGGTACACCTGTACAGTTGTACGCACGTCAATGCAACACGTTTACCTTAACATCTGTGTTTATGAAGCTCAAAATGTTTCGGTTTTTGGTGAATTATAGAAGTATAAAATCAATTATATGTTTATTATTGAGGTCACAGTTAAAGGTGGTGTTGTACTGGACTACATTATAATCACAGGTGTTCCTAATGTTTTGACCCTCTCATGTATGTAGCCAGGGAGGACAAAAATATAGAGAGACCTCTAAATATAATGTAGTCAATTACAACACCACCTTTAACTATGACCTCAATAATAAACATATAATTGAATTTATACATTTTATACATGACCATTTCACAAAAACTGTAACATTCTGGGCTTCATAAACACAGCTGTTAAGGCAGAGGTGTTGCATTGAAGTGCATACAGGTGTACCTAATAAAGTGGCTGGTGAGTATATAGTCCCATATATAATCAGTCCCATCAGAACTGGGTTCAAGAGTGTATATAGTCGCATATATAATCAGTCCCATCAGAACTGGGTTCAAGAGTGTTGGTGAATTTAAAAAGGAGTTTATTTATCAAAGGTTATAAGATTTATTTATTATTTATAATATTTATATTTATTTATCATCATATTTATATTTATTATTATAAGATTTATTTATAAATCTAATAACCTGCCGTACCCTGAAATGTTAAGCACACATGCATGCACACACCTGTATTTCCAGTACTGTGAGGTCTGTGTGGAGAGTTCATATTTCTGTGGAGGTGTGCGTGATGTGTGGAGAGGATCCCGCTATCAGCTAGAGCTGCTGTCGCTGCAGCTATTGCCTGGGAAGTCACTCCTCCTCCTCCCACTCCAGGTCTGTAGGCCATGCTACCTGGTGCTACATGCATGAAGTTCTGCTGTGGAAGGCCTGTTGACTATAAGGTAGTGACAGAAAGAGGCACATCAACATAAAGTTGGTTAATAACAGAATACAATATATGAGTTACTTATCAATGAAACTTTGTTGTTGCATCTTTAACAGTCTCTCATTTTTTGTTTGATTGGGTGGGTAACTCCCTTCTGCTCAGAGTGAATTCACAGGGGTCAAGCCTTTTTTTTATTCCACCTATGGAACTATTATAGTGCTGTGCCAAAGATGCAAATACATAATAATCCTGGTCAGATATAAGATTTTGAAAACTTTGGTCCATGCAGAGAAAATATGTGTGTTAACCCAGTGGGTTAACAGTCCCTGACCAAGCAAGGAGTCAACTGCTGTTCAGTGGCTTAGTATTAGGTATCCACAGAGTCATATCTCAAAGCTGACAATCAAGCTTATTGGTTCTCTGTCAATTAATTAGGGATGAAAAGTGAGAACAAACAAATATTGTGAATAAACTAAAATGCAACTTACAATTTTATGACTCTTCATCATATTGTCAAATTCCTCATTAATCTTCTTGTATTTCTCCTCAGTACTGGGAGCAAGAATGTAGGAGGCCTCAGCATCAGGGCTGTCGCAGCCTCTATGCTCCTTCTTGTTCAGGGCCTGTGAGTGAAATAAGCAAAGCATGAAAGTTGAGTTTAGAGGGGAAAAAAAAAAAAAAAGGTTACATCTGCATCAACAGGTCTTTTGCACAGCGTGTGGTGGCTTGTAGTTAACATTCACAAGCTGACCACTGAGAACAGTCTGTAGGTGTGTGAGATAAACTTGGTGGTGGTGGTGCTGGGGGCTCGCTACTGGGAGCAATGCTAGTTGTACAGCCCGATAGAAACAGGAAGGAAGGACCTGTGAGTCACACACATGGGGTGAATCAATGTGTATTTTCACAAACAGGTTTGTTAAAGTAAAGAAAACAAATACAAAAACAAAACACACAAATATAAAAAAAAGCTCAGCTTAGACGGAACGGTGTAAACTTATGACACTGGTTCTCATTGCTCTCTATCTAGTATGTGATTAACAGGAAGGACAACCAGCCACTTGTGCAACTAGAATCAGATGTGATTCTCCAGAGGCTCAAAGACTAGATACTTTCCTACTACTGAGGCCATAATGTATATACATTCCTGCAGGTCTGTAAGTGCAATCCTCTTTGTTCTGATTAGTGTGAATGGGAAAATATTTTTATTCTGTCATAAAATGCCTCTATAGTGTTAAGAAAAATTACGGAAAGTTGTCAGTGTTTCATTCATTACACTTTTATTTTTGCATGATTTTTGATTGGAAAATGTCCCCACAGGGGAAAAAAATGTTCTAGCTATTCTCTTCTGACTGTTAACAGCTCACAGGACCCGTTTTGTTTTTGTAACATTTACTAATTAAACCAATGGCTTAATTCCCATCGGTTGGCCATATAAATGTCTCTCTGTTAACTCTCTACTGCAGTGAACTCTCCAATCTAAAATAATCAAGCAGTGTCATTTCATTTTTTTGCCACACTAGAGGCACAGTTGTAGGAATGGCCAGTCAGTCAGTCGGTTACTTTGGTCCAAAGTGAAATGCCTCAACAACTACTGGGTGGCCTGCTGTAAAGTTGATTACAGCCATTCATGATCCACAGAGGATATATCGTAATGATCCAGCAAATAAAACTTTTTTACTTATCCAACAAAACCTCTACTTGATGGAACTGCACAAAGTGTTTTTGCAGACATTCATGGTACCCTGACTTTTCCTCCAGCAACACCATGTTGCTGATATTTATCTGTATGTATCAGCATCAGCTGCACTTTGGTACTGGTTAGAAAATGTTAGGATGCTAAAGCACTACATTATTATGAGATTATTAATTATCAAAAATTATAAACAGTAACATAAGTAATGACATTTTGAGCATGTTACCCTTTTTGCATTTAGCTGAGAGCACAGCTGTGCCTAAGTGTACAGTCTCACAGAGCTGCTAGCATCGCTCTAGATGCTTGGTTTTATATTTCTAAAATAAAATTTTGTGCATTCATTGTTTTTATCACTGTTACCTGTACAGACTGTCCATTATTCTACTGTGGAGTGTCTAACAGTTTGTTTGAGTAGTACAAACATTAACTGTCATCTTCCTCTAAAGAGGTGCACATTTCAGGAGTATATTCTGACAATTAAGTGTAATCTTATCTCATCCTAGTCTTACTCATCTATATTCACACCACCGGCCTTTTAAATGGACTAGAACAAGCACATATTTTATGGAAAACCTGAAACACCTTTGGGTTTGGTTAAGGCTTTACAGTGGTGCAGGATTTATACATGGAGAAACAAAAGGCAAAGAGTTGGCTGTTAATGCATCCCTGAGCACCACAGAGATATAGCCATCAAATAAGATTCATTAGTGCAAATACCTCTGTCTGTAGGGGATCATATTGCTGTCAGCAGTAAAGCTTAGACAAATATTCTGTGCTTGAGAATAGCAGGAAGAAAGTCACTTTCGGCCTTTTCCCAGTTAGGG